AGCAATAAAAAATAAAAACTGCAAAAGTATATAAAAAGCCAAACAAAGCATTAAAAAACTAAGACTATAATCAGAAAATTAATGCAATTAGTAAACTGAAAGTGAACACTGAGGTGACAGCATGTTAGAAAACAAATTCCAGACCAAGTAGTGACTGGTACTGATACTACAGGAAAAAATGGTGGTGACCAAAAGCAAAAGAGCTAAACTACATGACAGTTTATATTACCTAAGCATTAGCAGAAAATGTAATTATCAAGTCATCAGGAAGACCCATGCCAGCCAAGGAAACAGTTAAGTCTATTGGGTATGCAAGTCTCGTGTGCATGTGTGCAAGTGTGCATTCCTGAGTATTTGGCCTTAAATTCAACATGTAGCAGAGGATGATCTTGACCTCTGATCCACCTGCCTGCACTGATTTCTGGAAATCCAGGAATGTACACCCTGCCTGGTTTTGGATGCAGTGCTGGGGACTGAACACAGGGCTTCCCTACATTTTCTAACGGAGCTACGTCCCAAAAACAGAGCTGGTCTGTATAAAGATCACAGATGCTCTTTAATAAGGCTTCAAAATAAAGAAAATTGCATGAAATCACAGCACTAGCTGGGTATGTGGCAGAGCATAACTTAAACCTAGCACTCAGAAAATTAAGAGGACTGTGACTTCAAGATCAGCCCAGAATAAATAGCAAAATCCTGTTTTGAAAACAAAAATTATAAAAAGGAAGGAAGGAAGGAAGGAAGGAAGGAAGGAAGGAAGGAAGGAAGGAAGGAAGGAAGGAAGGAAGGAAGGAAGGAATATCCTGGAATATAAAATCAAAGCCAAAAATTCAATAGTGATTATAAAAATATTTCATTTAATTAGGTCATTTAGGTAACATTCTGATAGAGTAAAAAAAAATAGAAAAAAGTTTGACAAGTAAAAAACAATGTCAAATCAAGAAGAGGAAACTATAAAATGATACATCAAGGTGGATTTAATTGTGAAGTTTATATTACTAACTCTAACAGAAAATGTAACCTTTCTTTTAATACAACAGAAACTGGAAAATAACTCTAAAGTAATTGGATTCTTTAAAACAGTGTAGAATGTGACATGCATGAGCAAAATCAATTGTATCAGCCATTCTCCAAGAGAACAAAGGAGCTAAATATATATTAGCATCAGTATAATGTGTATCTTTAATTTTTCTAAAACTTGTGCTCAATCCAAATCTGGACCACACCTTCTGGTAAATGTGCAAGGGAAGATACAGTAAAGCCCATATATCCAGCTGCTTATAGTATGGAACATGAGTGAACTGGAAACTTGGAGAAGTGGTGCAGAAAAACAGCTAGAAAACAAGAGTTTTGATTAACTGAGAAAAACACCTAAAAATGTACACTTCCTATCTATGCAGAGGGCAATAAGAAATAAATGTTAACTGGGCATAGTGGTACATGCCTTTAATCCTAGCACTTGGGAGGAAGAGAGTGGCTGATCCACAGCCAGATTGTTCTATAGAGTACTAGGGCTACACAGAGAGACCCTGTCTTTAAAAAACCCAAACAACAACAAAAATAACACACACACACCCAGCAGAAAAGTTTCAAGATAAAAATGCATCTTAAAGCTCAATTATAATACTATCAATCAAAATGTAAGTACACACCATGATTTCCAAACATTTAATAAAACTGAACAGATTCTAAGTTCCCCTATGAACTAGCTATTCAGAACCTGAAAAGAATGCAAATCTTTTTTCTCATGAGTACATGGTCTCATCCTAAAATACTACCTCCGGGGGCGGATCACTTTAACTTTACATTTCCCCCCCCATCATCACTATCAGTAAAAAAAGGTTAGTTTCTGTCCCCAGCATTCCTACCCTCAATGTGATTCTTCTTTGAACATCCCTTCCTGCCAAAAAATAGTAACAGATTACCACTGTGACAAACTATTTGTGATAGCTATTCTTGTTTGTCAATGATTATATCTGGGATTAACTAAAACCCAAGGGCCTGGGTACACCTGTGAGGAATTTTTCTTAATTGAATTTTATGAAGTGGGAAGACCCATCCTAAATCCAAATGTTTTTTTGAGGTGGCAAGCTCTACCATAAATCTGGACCACATCTTCTGGTGGCAGCCTATATAAAGGACAAGAAGGACAAGCTTGCCCTTTGCCTACTTGCTCTCACTCTTGCTTTTCTGGTAATAGATCCTACTTCTTTGGGATTCTGATGTATACAGAAGACCAACCAGCTGAGACATCCAGACTTATGTACTGAACAACCACTGGATTTTTGACAGCGATTGCTGGACAAGCTAGATCACAGCCTAAATTCATTTCATATATATATTAATTCTATCCATTGTTCATCTATATCAGCAGCTCTCAACCTGTGGGTCTCAACCCCTACAGGAGCTGCAGATCAGATATCCTGCATATTAGATATTTACACTATGATTCATAACAGTAGCTAAATTATAACCATGAAGTAGCAACAAGATAATTATGGTTGAGGAAATCACCACACCATGAGGAAATGTATTAAAGGGTCACAGTGTTGGAAAGGTTGAGAAGCACTGCTCTAAAGAACCCTGCTTAAAACACTATTTATTACTATATCTGAAGTACTGATCATCTGCCATCTCCTTTCTTGGTCTTCTAAAGTACCCGAGTAGTCTCCTACTCTACTACTTCTTTACCTGATGTCACTTACATTTAGATCATCATTGCTCTCCTCCTTGACTGCAAGAATGCATGGCTTCATAGTTTCTCTTCAATTCTAGATGCCTAAAACCCACTAGAATGTTATACCAAATGAAGAATTACAGATCCCAACATACAAGCCACACTCCTAGTCCTGCATTCTTGCTAGTAAAAAGCTATTTCCAATACAAACAGAACTGCTTTTACAGACAGCGCGGAGAATGACTCAAGATTCACCTGTAGGGGGTAGAAAGATGGCTAGTCAGTTAAAGCAGCTCTTGCACAGAACCAGGGTTCAACTCCTAGTACACACATAGTAGCTCACAGCCACCCATAACTTCAGTTCCAAGGGATTCTGCAACCTCTTCTGGCTTCCTCAGGTACCAGGCACACATGTGGTGCACATAAATCCATCCAGACAAAACATTCATATACATAAACCAAAAATAAAATAAATCTTTTTTAAAAAATCACCTACAGGGTGATTTCCTAGGAATTTTTAACCCCAGCTACTACTTAGCCTTCCAAATTAAGGGGGAAATACAATGAAGTAAAAGATGTATTCTTTGCCTCAGAATCCTACAGTGCCAGATTTTGTCCTACAATTACATCTAGATTATAGAGGACTAAAACATGAGGCACAAAAGGTAAAAATAAGAATGAAAGATATCCATCTAGAATGAATCTTCGTGCTTCAGCTTCTTAGGTTCAGGTACATTGGTTCTGGAATGAACACCTCTGATAATTTGCTAAGATTTGGAAGAATGCTCTCCACCCCCAAAGACTTAGAGTAAAAGCTTGGTCCTCAAGGCAGTGGTAGCAGAAGGTACTACAGACCCTTTAAAAGATAAGGCATAATAGGAAACCTCTGCATCATGAGGCAAAGGGATGCTTTCAAAGGGAGTTGTGGAACTTGTCTGTTCATCTCTACCTCTAACTCCACTCTCTGACTTGTGTCACCTACCCAAGAGCCCAAAGGAATAGATCCACCCTTGGACATAAATCTCTAAAGCCATGAGTCAAAGTAAGATTCCTTTTCTTCATAAGTATCCTGTATCGGGAATGTCATTACAGTAACACAGTTGATTAATAGATTGTTCATCTAAGAATTCCTACTAGCAGTCCACAATAGGACATTGTCTTCAACATTACTGGCCACACAGTTATGACTTTGCATGAATAAACACTTTATTTGCATTAAAGACAATATAAGCTAAAATCTCATTTGTTGAAAAATAAACACATACTCTGCAATATACCACAAAACATTTCTTTTTCTTGTATTAAGCCATGTAAGTCAAAACCATGTAATCAACTGATGTGAAAGCTTAAAATTTTTCACTCCTAAATGCTAGGTTCACAAAGAAAGATGAATACCACAAAAGAGTAAATTGTGGATCTGATCAAAGGACAAAAACCATTACTAAGATAGATATGAGTGCTTCAAAGTGGAATAGAAATATGAGACACAGAGAAACAGAATTGTGGGTGCCAATGTCTTGCCAATCACAGAGACTGTAAACCAATAACTTGTTAGTAAACCAAGTCTTGTCTGAAGATGTTCCTTCATATAGTATTCAAAGTATTCTTTGGTTTAAGCTACCATTATCTATTTCATTGCTGTCTTTCTCAAATACAAGAGTTGCCATGCAGTTGTTTTCCTTTATCTGGTCTCCTTTGGAGTGTAATAAACATTTGAAGCTTTCATCATCTTCTTTCATTAAAAAAAAAAAAAGAAAAAGAAATTCAAATTCTGAGGCATTAATACTGAGCCTATTATGACAGAAAATATATCTCAAATATGAGAACGGCTCCTCTCATTCAGGGAACAATGTACTCTGATTTCTGCACCATAAACATGGCCAAGAAGGGAGAGTGACAGGTGGCTCTTCTTGAATTAAGTAATTATTGCCAAGGCCTGCTAAAATTTTGTCAGTATAAAATACACTAATTGGGAATTCCCTTATCCTAAATCTTTAAGCCAGGTATATTTTAGATTCAAATTTTGGAAAATTAAAATAAATATACATATTTTATATTTATTTTTTATATACCATGTAACATATACTACATTATATATATATATATATATATATATATATATATCTTGAGACTGTTACCTAGGTTTAAATTCAAAATTCATGCTTAATACAATATAAATTAACACTAATATTTTAATGACATGCATTGATGTGCAAGTTACACTGTGCTTTAGTATTTTAATTTTATATTACAGACATCAAATAGAGGTAGGTAACTGTGTAATCTCCAATCCAAGTATTAACCAGACCCAATCCTGCTTAGCTTTTGAGATAAGGTTCATTCAGAGTGGTATGGCCATGGAAAGAGTATACACCTCAAAATAAGTGGTTAGTGTTCACTCTAAATCACCAGTAAAGAGAAAGCAAATAAAGAGGCTATATGCCTGGACTGAAATTAAAAAAAAAAAAAAAAAAAGGAAATATTGTTTATAAAATCCCAAACATTCAATTTTACCAATGAAGACTCAGGAGACATGTGCTGGTATGAAAGCCTTCTAGCTCAGAGGCAGAGAAAGCACCCAGCTGACCTTCCTCCTTAACCACCATCTCAGAAGGAAAAAGCCAGTTCTCCTTTTCAACACTGTCTGAAAAACCCTTCAAACTGAATGTTCCTCCTTTCTACTTCCATATTTCTACCCAGCCTCCTGACTTCCTCTGACTCTATTTTTTTTTTTATGTCAACTGGCTGCTTGCTCCGCCTCTTGACCTATGGGTGACTTTATTTAATTGTGTTTGCAATAAACTGAAAGCTTCTGGAATAAAGGTGTGTGCTAGGGCTGAGCCACACCACAGGTAGCAACAGGTTTTTCCAGGAAATAACACAATCTCAGGGTGCACAGTGTGATCAAAATATCCTGCAGCACCAAAACTGCACTGATGTGCTTAAACCTTTATTTACATTATTCCTAAACAATTCGGTATAAAAGTTCTTGTATAGTATTTACATCATATCATGTATTAGAAGTATAGAGATGACTGAAAGTATATAAGATATGGACATGTTCAAAGACTTCATCATTTTCTACAAGTAATTGGAGTCTCTTCACTTTGGGGTATATGAGACACACTGCCTGTGTCAACCATGTGTTTCATACAATACATCCTATACCAGATGCTCACACCGAAACTCAAGTTTCAGGACACAGCCATTTGCACACAAATAGCTACATGCCTACACCAGTTTGCTAAGTCTACAGCTGAAACCGTCATCTGATTCAATCTAAATAATGAAGCTGGAAGTTGTCTGAAAATCTATACATTGTGTTGCAACATACTGTTGCTTGGGTTCTGAAGCTAGTAATGTTAAATATTACATAGCAAAACTGAACACAAAGCCAGAACCACAGTCATTTAGACTGAACTGTGCAACCAAATCAGACATTAAAAACCTTAAATGCCAAACTCAAAATTTCCATTTTTTTTCAAATTACTTCTTTAAAAACCCACAGAGCAGCAGAGACTGCACACAGCCATAACTGTCAAAGTTCAAATATCTGAAAACTCGTAATAAAACTAACTTATGATCCTGCCCTTCACAAACAAGACCCTACCAATATCCACACAATGCTAACCTACTTAGAAAATGATACTGTCAGATATACCTTCTCCTTTCCTTCCACCTTCCCCTGCTTCTGACAGTTGCCAAAAGTGACTTCTTGGGGAGTGTAAAGACAAAGTAGCACTCCTACACTCCCGATAGTATTTATTACAGACGGGAAGTAAGCAAGAGCAGAGACAACCAAAACTAAGACTCCTTTCTCCAACAGGTCTGGAAGACATGAAGAAGGTAACTCTTAAATCCACGACCACACTGCTGCACCCTTTAACCACACGCCAATGAGACCATCGCGCCAGGGTAACCGAGTCCGCCTGCTCCGTGACACAGACTCCAGAATCACAACCAGAACAGATAGATCTAAGCACTGGGAGCTACTGCAGAGTTAAGGGTGGGATGCTCAAGCAGAGTTCAGAATTCCAAGCCACATAAGCGCAGGATGGATGGCAGAGCGCTGACCTCCCCCCCGAGCCCGGCCCAACGCTTTTCCCTGTTAGCTCCCCAAATGCTTACCTCCTCTCCGAGAACCCTTGGTAAGCGCAGTCTTCAGGCGTCCCTGCCACCTCAGCTCCGACTGTCCCCGCGCCGGGCCCCGGGACGACGACGAGGAGGAGGACGCGCACGCGCGGCTCCCAGGAGCCAGCCCTCCGCGGGCGGGCGGACGCCGGGAACTGGGAGCAGCGGAGCCGCCCGGATCCTCGCCAGGCTCCGGAGAGCTCGGGACGCCAGAGGAGACACACAGAGGTCGCTGCAGGGCAACGCGCTAAAACCGCAACTCCACCAGGCCGCTAGCTAGGCAGCATCTACAGGCCGCCGGAAGTCGCGAGTTTGCCCCGCTCCTCCGCAGGCCGGGCGGCTTCCGGCCGCCAGATTAGTCGTCAGCGAGTAAGTCCCGCCCCTCCCGGACTACACCCCCCGCGTCGCCAGGGCGGTGCGGGGTCTGCGCCTGGCGCCCTCTGAGTCCTGAGGTCTGGGGAAGGAAACGGGGAGCCAGCTAGGGAGGGCCGGGAGCCTCGGTTCACTGAGGGTCTCCTCTTAACTGTGTTCTACCGCGTTAAGTGCCACTTTGTTACTGGCAGTAACCGTAGTCTGGCGAGCTTCTGAGCCGCAGAAAATGACATCCGCCCTTCCTCCGCCTGGGCCTGTTAACTGGAGCAAAGAGCTGTACGCGGATTGTGCTTTCAAGAACAGGAGCAGAGACTGATTAAAAATTTGGAGTGGAAACCCTTAAGATGCTTCAAAGTGCCTTTGCTTTTGCTGCCTGGACCCGATGATCTCCGTAAAATTAGTTAGTGTTGGAGTTGCTTAAGAGGAGCTGGAGAGACGGCTCCAGCCGTTAAGAGCGGTTGCTGCTCCGGCAGAGACTAGGTTTGGTTTCCAGCACCCACGTGACTGTTAACAACCTCCTGTAAACTTCAGTAACAGCGGACCCCAGCGCTTTTTTTCTGGCCTCTGATGGGTTTTAGCACGAACCTGGTGGTTAAACTCAAACAGGGGCACGCACACACACAAATAATCTTAAAACTGCTTAAAGGTAGCTGCTCATCATAAATCAAGGGGTGGAGGTGGGGGTGCCAGGAGCTAACCCTTTATAATGAACAAAATAAAAAAGGTTAAAATGACACATGAGCCATGGTCACTGTTGAGCTCAAAACATTGTGCATTTTATTCTTGAACAAAACCAAGGAAACTCATGAAAATTAGAAGCAACAATTTAGTGTTGCTGAAATCAGTAAAATAAAAATAACGGGAGCATAGGCAAGGGCATTAAGCGTTCCTGATGACATGCCAAGCTATTTTAGAGACTGCGGCCAGAGCTTCTGCACAAGTGGGTTTGATGTATCTCTCCGGTAGCAAGAATCCGTATCTGCCTTTATCTCGAAGTTCAATCGTAAATGAATATTTGATGCCCAAATCATAGATCCAATCATCGGAACCTCCAGGAGCTAGGTCTAAAAGAAGATAAAGAGATTATTTTGAAATAAATTTATTTCAAATCAAGTAACTTTTTTTTTTAAAGAAATGAAAATAACTTGGCTTTTTTTTCTGGTTAAGTTACCTAAATTTCTCATCTGAAAATTGTGCACATCGAAAACATGTTAAGAAAGAAAACAACACTGCCTTTCTGGGCGGTGTTGGCGCAGTCCTTTAATTCCAGCTTTGGAGAGTCAGAGGCAGGCAGATCTCTTTGAGTTCAAGGCCAGCCTGGTCTACCAAGTGAGTTGGGGGGAGGGGAGAAAAAAAATGTTGCCTAGAAGGCAACAATAATCTGACCAACGAAGGATAACTGCTGATAACATTTTAGTGCATTTTACAGTGAAGGCATTTTCTGGCTTAATTTTAATTACATAAAGTCAAACAGTTCCTGCCTACTATTTTGTAACATTCCTAGAGGTAACTATGTTAACATTTTTTCAAAGGTATCATTACTGAGTTTGAATCTACATCATTTTTAATGATTTTAAGGGACTGCAGTGTAAAGCTACCTATGACTGATTCAAATAATGTTGTAGATAAACAACTTAGTTTCTTTAGAGTGAGCACCTTTGTTTATAAATGTTTATTATTCAGAATATTTTCTAGAGTTAGAATTACTTGACTAAGGTTGTGTAACCTTTAACAGTTACCACACTTGTTACCAAGTACTATTCCAAAGAAGAGAACCTATCCCTCCCAGCAGGGGTAACTACAATGACTGCCAGTTCCTGCACCTCTGGCAAGAATCATACATCCTGACAATTCTCTGGGTAAAATAATAATAATAATAATAATAAATTATAATAATCAATTGTCTTTGATTTAGATTTCTTTATCAGTGAATTGCATACTTTTATATATTGTTCATTTTATATTTTTCTATCAGTTTCCTTGATTACTTTTCTACATGGTTAATTTTATATATTGTTTAAAAGAACAGCGTTTATGTTATTAGATCATGTTGTAAAGATTTTCTCAAGTGTTTAGCTTATGGCAGAGTTTTTGTACTTTAAAATTTGATCAATTTGACATTTATTTCAGTGAAAGATGTATTAGTAACTCAGTTCAACTTTTTCCAGGGCTGATAATTAAATAGTTCAGCTGGTGTGACATGTCTCCTTTATCAAATACCAGGTCTCCTTATATATTTGGATATCTTTCTGTGCCTGTTATTCCCGTCTAATAATCTGTCTCTTCCAGGCTCAGTTCCATACTATCCTAATTATGCTATGTTTATAACATGGTCTAATGCCTCAGTGGGGCAAAATATCTCCTATTTGCCTTATTTTCAGTATTTTACGAATTCTCCTACCATATGTATGCTTCCAAATAAACTTCAAAATCATATCAGTGTTCATTCGATTACATCAAATATACAAATCAGCTTAGTAAATGTTCAATGTTGTTTACCCATCACAGAGCACATCGGCTTCCTTCAAAATTATTTAAGTGTTCATGGGATTGCATCGATTACACAAATCAATTTAGGAAAATTTAATAATGTTTTCCTACTGCCCAAAACATTAGATTTCTCCTGTTATTTGTCTTTCAGTAAATTTTAGATTGTTTTGTACTTGCTACATATTTATTGCATGTCTGTGTATACTCATGTAATCTTTAACAACCCACATGGATGTGTACATATATATGTGTGCGTGCCTGCATACAAATATGTTCATACATGTTGTGGCAGGCAATCAGATCTTCTTCTCCCCCGCCCCCGTGTGTGTGTGTGTGTGTGTGTGTGTGTGTTAGATAGGTCACACTGTGTACCTCAGGCTAGGCTGCAACTAGCTCAAGTTTGCTTCAAGCTGGTGATCTTCCTGCCTTGGCCTCCCCAGTGCTGAGATTGCAGGAGTATGGCACCATACCCTACTTTACTCTTATTTTCTGCCTACTTACTTCTGTATGTATGACATCTACATTTGTATATATTCAACCTGCAGTCAACCACCATACTGAAAACTATGTTATTAATAGCTTCGATTGACGGTCTGAAATTTCTCAATTAATTCTATAATGTGCAAAGAAGAGCCACTGTACCCTTTTCTATCTATGATGGGACTGACTGAGAGATTTGTTTGCATTACTTATGCTTTTCCTGAGACAGGGCCTCATAGAGCCCAGGGCGGCCTCAAACTCTCCTGGGTTATAGCCCAGGATGTCTCTGAACTCTTGATTCTCCTGCTTCCATCTCCTGAGTGCTGGGATTATAGATGGTTTATGCACTGTTTCTAATATTTTTAAACTATCCATCAACAGTGGATGCATTTAGTCATCCAAGAATATTTCTGATAATTATGATCAACAAATGCCTAACATTTATAGTTCCATTTTTTATTCTGTGTGTGTTCACACGCGCACACACAAAGACACACCGACACGTTCTAGGTGAATGAGTGTGTGGAAATTACCTACAACAAAGGCAGCTTGGGCCAGTGACACCAAAGGACAGAAGTACGTGGCCCAATCTGATAGGCAACTCCAGGGATCATTGAAGACAAAGGAAGAGGGAGAGCTTGGACTTCCTGCCAATAAAGCATTTGATACTTATAGCAGTATTGAAATGAAGCAACTGTCGTGAACAGCCTATTGCCAATCATATTAAGTGAGACCCCGGGATTGTCTCAATCTCTTTCATGCTTTTATGCTTGTCATCTGCAAGCTACTTAATAGTTCTCCAAAGGTATGCGGCCTGCAGAGAGTCACCTTGCCACATAGCTTCTGTCAGCTACACTCATCCTCACACCTATAGGGCTCTCTTATTTTCATTAAATCACTGAGTGAAATCATACTTTATTTTACCATTTGTTTGCATCAGGAGTAGGCAAGGCTTTTTTTTTTTCTGAAAAAGATAGGATTAGAAATAGTTTATGTTTTGTGAGCCATCTGGCCTCTGTTGGCAATTATCTTGGCTGTCATAAAAGCTGCCACAGATAATATGCAATTTAATGAGCACGGCTGTGTTCCAATAAAACTATTCATGGAAACAAATAAGAATTTCATATAATTTTGATGTGTCAAAATTTAATTATTTTCATTTTTTTTCCAACATTAAAAAAAATGGAAAGCCTTCTTGGTTGGAAGGCTATGAAAATATGTAGTAACCTGGGCTTGGTCAATGAGCTGCAGTTTTCTGACATTTGTTTATGTGTTTGTTTGCTGTTCTCATCCCATTTTTGTGTAGCAATTTCCTCCTAGATAAAACATTCCAGCAGTGTGCTCTAGGGTTCCAGCCTCCCTGAGTCATCACCCATGCTTCGGTGAGCTTTGATGATAAGGCTGTCTTTGAATCATTTCTGCTCCTTTAGGCAGCCTCACCTCTATATCTGTAAATAACTCCCAAACTCTCTGGCTCACCAGACAGAGGCGTTATCCCTCCTTTGGTCTGTTGTCAGTTCCCTGTCTGGAGTGAGTAGACATTTGTTCCCATCTCCCCGTGAATTCTGTCAGCTAACACCCTATCCTTTGGCTTCAGAAGAACAGAGCAGGGTTTGCCAGCCTAAGCAAGAGTTTCTCAATAAATATGTCGCAGGAGAAATGGATCAAAAACATTTGTTAAGTTTGCCACAACCAAGCCTCACCAGAAGCCAGGAAGCAGGCTGTCACTAAAAAGCATGCAATCCAAATGACATCATCTAGATTTATATATCACATGATAACTGTGGGCATCTTATACACTCCTGACCTTGCATGGCCTTTTCTTCTTTTCTTAATTAGTATGATACTAATTATACAACCCCCACTCTATAGACATAAGCTTCATCTCTCAAATACCACTTTGGCTTCTTATTTTGTTGTTGTTGTTGTGTGTGTTATATCTACATACATATATATATCTATATACACCTGCCTCTGGAGGCCAAAGGAGGACATTGGGTGCCTGCTCGATTACTCTCCACCTTATTTTCTTAAGACAGGGTCTTTTAGGACACTGGGCTAGGCTGGCAGCCAGAAAGCACTAGCAACCTTCCTGCCCACTCCAGCCCTCACATAGGTGTTGGGATTACAGATGCATGTGGCCATACGTGTTTTCGTTTGGTCATCTGTTTTAAACAGGGGTCCTGAGGATTCTAGCTCATGCCCAGCCCTGTGCAGCTGTCAGTCTACACGACTTCGTTTGGCGCTGTCACTGGTTAAGCCATGCTTCTGTATCCAATCATTATGATTACTCTACATACAATCCTGTTTAAAGATTGGATTTGGAGGACTGAGCCTCTACAAGACACCAAACAGACATCTCCGCTGTGCCTCATGGCCTAAGCCATCAAGAAGAAACACTGCCCCGAGGAAACCTGGCCTTCAGCCGCAGCATGGTTGCCCAGCACACCTGAGGCCGTGGTGTCATCCCCAGTGCTGAGAGAATGCAGAGATGGAACAGGAGGAGAGGGAGGAGAAGGGAGGCGAGAATGGGTGAGGGGAAAGAGGAGGAATACTTACATAAACTTTCCGAGCCACTGCCGTGTGTATACCTGATGTTTTTATTAATATTTTCAATCGCACGAACCGCTTCACTGGCCACTAGTGACTAGAAGCAATGGGAGAGAGATGTTGATCAGCTTGCAGGTCTGAAACAGGAGAGTTTGAACTTTCCAAACGAACATAAGCACATTAATTTGGCCCAAGTATATATGTGAAAAGCCCGGATTTATCCAAAGAGTAAATTTAAAAGATTATAATAACTAAAAAAAAAAAAAAAAAAGCAGTTTTTCAGTTTATGGCAATCACAATTGACTGGCTTTCAAAACTAAACTCTGCCAATGCATTGAATGTTGTCTTTAATTTGCATTTTAAAACCTCACATGGCTTTTCAGGAATTAATTTATTATGTAAAATGAACTAGATATTTATAATCCTGGAAGCTATTCCATTCCTAGACAAAATTGACACTATACTTTAAATTCTGCTTCTCTAAAGTGTACACACGCACCCACGGTTATGCATAATTGGCTTCTGTTGTGTATTTGTTCAACGGCTTCCAAGGATTCACTAAATGAAGGGCTGTGCCCCTGATATGAAGCAGGCTCCACTACACCTTATCCCAACTCTTACCAATGGTTTCTGGAGCTCCCACTTAGCATTTATCTTCTCTAAAACTGGGGCTAGCATCATGGAACTCACTGTCAGTCACTTGAGGACCCAGAGGGATAACTGTCACTATTGTGTTACGCCAGTTTGGGGGGTACAAAAATTGGTTTTGGGAGCCAGGCTGTATGGGTAAGTTAGGGTGCTTGCTGGCAAGCCGACTTTAACCCCTGGGACCCACAGTAGAAGGAGAGAACCAACTCCTACAAGCTGTGCTCTGCCCTCCACGTGTGTGCTATAACATGTACACTTGCAGGCATGGGCCCATACCCACATGTGCGCACACACACACACAATGAATAAATGTAAAAAAAAAAATTAAAAATAAGTTTGGGGACCGGAGAGGTAGATTAGTAGTTTACAGCTCTGGTGGTTCTTCCAGATGACCTAGTTTCTATTTGCAGCACCCACATGGCAGCTCACAACTGTCTGTAACTCCAGCCCTAGAGGATCTAGTGCCATTTTCTGGCCTCCTCAAGTCCTGCATGCATGTAGTACACAGACATACATGCAAACAAAATACCCATACACATTAAATTAAAAAAAAAAAAAAAAACAACTCAATGAAACTTCACTATCTACATAATAAAATATAGATTTCAAACACCTTTACAAGCTGACCTCATCTACTTCCTCGTGCACCTCCCTCCCCATTGCAGGCTATTTGGACACTCTGTGAACCCTGAGAATTGAGTTGTTTACTGGAGAACACCTGTTTTTAGTTGTGGTGTGCTCAGCACTAGCGCACACCTGTTATCCAAAGCTTTCTGCTTGACTATTATAAACAGGATTAAATAACGTTAACCCAACCCTGCTCAGATGTAGCTTATGGCAGCTCAGTACCCAAGGGGGTACCCCAGTAAGGGGAACAGGGACTGTCTCTGACATGAACTCAGTGGCTGGCTCTTTGACCTTCCCTCCTGACCCCCAAGAGTGGGGAGCAGCCTTGCCAGGCCACAGAGGAGGACAATGCAGCCAGTCCTGAAGAGTTACCTGATAAGCTAGGGTCAGATGGAAGGAGAGGAGGACCTCCCCTGTCAGTGGACTTGGAGAAGAGAATAGGAGGAGATGAGGGAGGGAGAGTGGGGTTAGAAGGAATGAAAGAGGGGGCTACAGCTGGGATACAAAGTGAATTAACTGTAATTAATATAAAAAAATAAAAATTTAATTAAAAAATAATATTAACCCAAAGTTAAGAAGAGCAAACAACCAGTTGACAGGGAGTGAACATGGGAAAGAAACCCACAGAGAGTAAGAGGAGGTCAGGAGGACGGATAGAGAGACTGGAGGGACATTCATTTTGAAGGGGTTTTGGAGACAGCATGGAGAAGGAGGAGGGTCAGTTGAGTGCTGACCTGTTTGCCTTTCTGAGCTAGCAAGCTTTCACCCCGGCATCTGGCTCCCGAGTCTTCAATGGTAAAATCAAACAATTGGGATTTTATTGCAAACAACTCCCCCACCACACACACACACACACACACACACACACACACTCACTCAGCTCGCTGAGTGTGCTCTTATGGAAAACACCATCTCCTCAGCACGGGAGGTCCTCCCTTGCTCATAGAAACCTCTCAGTGCCTGGTTGCAATGGCGGCTGCCCCTTGATATCAATACATCCATCAAGGACGGGGCTCATTTTATCCTACTTTCTACAGTTCCAGGCAGCTGTGACTTCTGTTGCTCTCATGCGGTAATGAAGATACATCATAAGCTGTCTGTGAAACTCGTTATGGATCAGCTTTCTAATCATATGGAATTATCCTTAATTGCAGGGCTTACCTAGTGCTTCTTTGAATGTTGACAGAATACAAAGTTCTACCCATAATAAGCAGTCACACAGATAGCAGCCACCAAGTAAGGTAAAACCAGACCAATTCTACATGGTAAATATCCTTTTATTTCTATAACTGTTGTAACCTATTTAAACTCTATAGCGCCTCTATTGAGATCCTCTTTAGTTCTTAGCATAACTATGGCACCCCTGTTAACACCTGCTGTTGCCTTTAGCATATCAGAAGCCATTTTGTTTCCAAATCTCCATTTTGATTATAAGGTAAAATTAAGTTCAAGTTCTCAGGCCCCTATGTGCCTGAGACCAGGATATGATTCGGTAGTTCAATACTTAGAATAAAAGAACAGATGTTAAATGCATATTCTGCTTGGGTTAAAGATATATGTATGTTCTGTTAGAGTTAAGACCGAAACATCCTGCTATGTTCCTTACTCCCAGAAAGCTGGAAAGCCTTCAAGAGCTCCCCTACCCTAAATCCCAGCCAATCCGCTTAAAATGCTTTGTCTAGCTACCGAGATACAACACAATACACTTGGAACAAAATCGATTATGTTTAGCTAGTCAAAATGATGTGATGCTGCACCCCCCTCCCTTGTTTCCTACACCAGGTTACCTAATTGTTACTGGTTATGTTTTTTTTTCGTATAAGTCCTGCCTTAGAAACAGATCAGTGTCATAGTCTGGCTATCAGATTATGGCTCTGATTGGTCAGTTTTTTTTTGTTCAGCGTTCAACAAACTTCCAGCAATCTGAGTCTGGTGTTTGAGTGGTCAGTGTGTGGCTATTCTTGAACTCATAAAACTAATAAATTAAGTAATAAATAAAATGAAATAATGAAACTGATAAACATTTCTTTAAAATGTTTTCTTTGAGAGTAAAAACAAATACCAAGTATGTTTTCATTTTAAACAAGCTGTTTGCAGAAAATGCGAAAAGAAATATAGTTGTCATAAATAATTGCCAGCCCACTTAATGCGGCTATACTTTACTCTGTTAAGAGAGCCAGGGAACAAAGAATGGCAGTCGGGGGCTGGAGAGATGGCTCTCAGAGGTTAAGAATGAACAGTAAGCACAGTCCAGTAAACAGGGGTCAGCCCTTACCAATGCCAGGGCACCTCCGCTGTCTGGGAAGCACCTGGGACAAAGGCTTGTCTCACTCTGGGTATAACCAGGTGGTTCTCAATCCATGGGTCATGACCCCTTTGGGGGTTACATATCTGATATCCTGCATATCAGATATTTACATTACAATCCATAACAGTAGCAAAAGTACACTTCTGAAATAGCAACAAAATCATTTTATGGTTGAGAAACTGTACTGAAGGGTCAATTAGGAAGGCTGAGAATCACTGGTATGAGCCATTGAGAGTCCTGCATCCTTTACACCTGTTAAGCTGAACAGAGCATCTGGGACCCACAGCAGTAAGAAGACTGCAGACTGTGTGGGCCTTCTTTGAGTGTGTTGTATTGTCTGCTACATTCCAAGCAGGTTTGTCTCAGTGGAGCCACTGATGGCTCTTTGACAGCACCAACCCTTTGGTAGTTAAAAAAGGTAGTGCTTAAATAGTTCCCACCGCTGGCACCCACAGAAGTGAGGGGCCGGCAATTAACCTGAGGCAAGCTGTCCCAGGAAGTCAGTGACTACCATGTAACCCACCATTCTCAGCCCCCAGCCCTTGATAGAGAGCAGGTCAGCTAACAGCCCTCTCCTGTCTTCTATGCAGTTTGTCTAACACAGGGAAGCCATTCCTTGGGAATGAAGTTTCTATCCTCAGCTTAAGGAGAGTGCTTAGAATTCTCTTATTGAACCTCAACCCAATCTGATTCCTGGCAGAGTCAGAGGTAGAAAACACCTACCTTCCCTAAAGCAAAAAAAAACTTAACGTTTTTGATTCTTGGGCAGAATGTTGTTTTACTCCTAAAATGCTTATGAGAAAATGAGTAAATGGCACTTACCAGTTCCTCATGGTCCTTGCTTTTGCTTCTGTTATAGGAATAGGGAAACACTATTTGTTGGGCATATGAATGCATACTGATGTAAGCCTTAATGTGGTTGATGTTTCTTCTCAGAAAGTCAGCCACTGCCTTCACTTCTGGCTCAGACTCTGGATAAAGTCCACAGTAAGTTTCAGAGCAGGAGAAACTTGATGCACCTTCCTCTGTAGCAAAAGTGTTAAGGTGACATTATTAGGAGATGTGTGCTTCTCTGTGCATTCTACAGCGCAGCAAATGCAGAAAGCATGGATAAGGGGAGGCTCTATAAAGAACATATTTATGATGTCCAATAGACACTGTCTGTGTTTCTTTTGAAGATAGGTATTTATAGCAAACTTGCTAAGGTCCTTCTAGGTGGATCTCCCATATTCCCTGGGGGTAGCCATCTTGAATCCTGAAAACACAACCAGGAAGGTCTCAGATGTTACCTGTTTCCAAACTTTTGGTTAAATGAGGAAAAATAAACTGAATTTCCTTAGTCATTATAAATGAATTCATTTCTGGTCTTAGCAGCATAGTTCATAAAAAAAAAAAAAAAAGAAAGAAAGAAAGAAAAAAAAAGGAAACCCTCAATGAGAAGTGAGACCATGGAAATAATTCTCTGGATCTGTTTACAATCAGAAATGTGGGTTATGACATGCAATGTGACCATGATGCCTGCTAACAGAGTAGGCTTTATTAATTACTGTGAGTGAGAGGTCACAATATGTATCCCTTTGTATGGTGGCCTGCTGTGATGGCTATTCCTGGTTGTCAACTTGGCTACACCTGGCATTAACAAAAACCCAAGGGGCTGGGTACACCTGTAAGAAATTTTTCTTAATTGAATTGTTTTATTTGAAGTAGAGTGTATACATTCATCTATATGTGTGTATGTGTGTGTATATATATATATATTTTTTTTTTCATTCTACAAGTTCTATTCCTCTAGAGAACCCAGAATAATATGGCTACCTTTCGGCATTTTTCTTTGTCTTTAATTCACAGGAATGGAGTCTCAGAAAGTCACATTTTACCCAAGCCTTGTGTACAGATTTTCAATATGGCAGATGACTGAAGCTCATTGTGTAATTTAGAAACTTGTTTGTACTTTCTTACAAGGTTATGTAGCCCAGTCTGACCTTGAACCCTGTCCTCTGCTTGCCTCAGCCCAGGGAGTTCTGGAAATACAGATGTATGCCATCATTCCTGGCCCATAGTTGTTTCTTGGCTGTAGCATTATGAACTCTGATGCTGGATGTAGTGGAAAGAAAGAGTGAACTTACATCTATCTGCCTCCCTGAGAACGGATTGTTCCTATGAACCAAGTCCATGCTCCCTGAGACCTCAGCTCATTCAAACCAAAGGACGATAAATTCACACGTTGCCTGTTTTTATATCATTTTTAATATTTCTTAGTATTTTATATTACTCATGAAAAAATGAACTTGTTAAGAAAGGTAATATTTGAACACAAAATCAGATATTTTCAAACACTACAAAATTACCTATACAATTGAAAAAGAAGGGGTGTCCTCTACCCTCGTCTTTGCTATCCTGATAATGAACATGGCTTGTCAAAGAGAGATCTCTGATAACTTCCTTGGTATTCTGAGATAATTTCTTTTTAAACTTAGACAGTAGAAGAGACCTTTAAAAACTGATCTGTGTTGAGTCCTCGGCCTTAAGTGGATCGCCTATATCAACCCCTGTGAGGAACAGGAAACATTGTGGAAGAGGCAGAGGAATGTAAGAGCCAAAGGACTGTGAGCAGAGCTTTGAAACACCGTCTTCTGGGCATGACGTGGCTGCTGTACTCGGGAACTCACAGCAACTGTGGTTGGCTGTGTGTGCCTGCACCAGATCAAACCAATCAAAAACTCTACCCTGGATACAGCCAGAGCTCACCAGGCTCCATTCTCCAGCCGAGGAGAGGAGTCATTTGCAATTGATGGTTTGGTGGGGGAGGTTGTCATTTTTCTTTGTGGATTCAGTCTTTGGTAGGTTCCCCATCCTCATGCAGGCAGCTCTAGTTGGACTCAGTCAATTATAAAAGCAGGAGAGGGAAAGGGAGGAAGAAGAAGGGAGGAGAAAAGGGAGAGGGAGGGGAAGAAGAGGAGTTAGTGAAATAGGGGGAACCACAAGTTTAGGGCAGTTTGGGGAGAGTGAGAAAGGACGTTGAGGATGGATATAATCAAGATGCATTGTCTATATGCGCAAGATTATCAAAGAATAAATAAAAATGAACTGGTTCCATTTTCTTGTTTAAAGATAAGCCATTCGAGGCCAGCCTTGTCTGCAGAGTGAGTTCCAGGAACCCTATCTAGCCAGGGAGTGGTGGCACACGCCTTTAATCCCAGCACTTGGGAGGCAGAGGCAGGTCTCTGTGAGTTCAAGGACAGCCTGGTCTACAGAGGGAGCTCCAGGTCAGCCAGGGCTACACAGAGAAAGCCTGTCTGGGGTTGAGGGAGAAGTTAAAGTGGTCTGTAGGCTCCAGTCAACAGTCACAACTACATTGACTTCAGATGTTTGTTATCAGATCACCCCCTAATTCAGACAGGCCTCCTTTCGAACCAGTTTGAATGCCAGGGCTATTCTCACCATCTTCACGAAGAGAAGCACGGAGCAAATGCTTACCACACCAGTGTCGGGAAGCGAAGTTCCTGTTCAGGTCTGTGCCCACGCAGGGGTTGTTCTTGTGGATAGAACGGTTCTTTCTCCACATTCGGTTCTAAAGGAATCAGGCAGGGGACGGGTAATCAAGACAGACCCTCCTGCTGGAGCAGCCTGTCTCTGGCACAGCCCTCTCACACAGCCCCACCTCCAGCCAGGTTCCAGTCACACCCACTCGAACTTTCAGCTTGAACTGAACAAAATGATGGCCTCTCATGGATTTTGACCTACACAAGTACAAAAAACTCACTTGGCTCTGTTAATCTGCATGCTGGCTTTCTTAGCCCCGCCTCCTTTAAACTAATTTCATGTGCAAGCTCATTTTGACCTCCTTCAAAGAAAAGCAAAGCAGCTTGTAGCTCAGCTCAAAACTTTTGCGCTGTGCATCCCAGCGATCCCTCTGCAGTGCGCTGACGTGGGTTGGTATGTGCTGGTCTTACACTGTAGCCCAGGCTACCCTACAGAACACTGTTTAGCGGAAGCTGACCCCAAACTCCTAGCAATCCTTCTGCCTCCTGCCAGCTGCTGGAATTACAGACATGGGGCACCACTAAAAACCATGAGCTTTTATTTTTTAAGAGTTTATTTTTGAGATGTGTGGTGAAGTGTTTATTAATAAAACGATGATGCAATGTTTCGGATTGTCTTAAAAAATATGGTGGGCAAAGTAGAAGGCAGGAGAGGAGATAAACGAAACACAGCGGGTCTTGAGTTGGCGAAATGATTTGGATCTGTAACATCCCCAAGAAGCCCATGTGCTGCTGCAGGCTTGGCTGCCAGTCTCTGGCATTATTGGGAGGAGATGGAAATGGATTTCTAGCAAAAGAAACTGAGATCACTGCAGAGTGTGTCCTTGCAGGGGATGATGGGACATTGGCTTCCCCCTCTTTGCTTCCCAGCCATCATGACAGGAAGGATTCTTGTTTCACCATCTTCTTCCTGCCATGACCTCCACACGCCTCATAAACTGAAATTTCTGAAACTCTGGATCAGACCCAACCTTTCTTCCTTCTACGCTTTTCCTCTCAGGTATTTTGTCAAAGCAACAGAGAACTTATCATCATCACCGAGGCTGTGAGATGGATGTCTAAGAGGTTAGTGTACCGTTGGTATGCAATTAAATCTGTTTCTTATGGATATTTGAAATTTCCCGTAATTGAACACTGTTTTCCCATAGGAAAACCTTGTCACCAAGGCCCAGGATTCCATGAATAATTCACCCTGCATCTCTGTATTTCCCAAAGTCTGCTTCTTTTGCCTTCGCCCACCTTTTTCCATGTGTAGTCATAGCCATCTGGGTTTATCACCGGCATGATGTAGAAATCCACATGCCTCAGGAGATTGGTATACAGCTTTTCTTTCCCGTAGAACTGAGTGACCTGCAGTCAAACCAAGGGTGCTTAATGTCTCCGTTTAGGTCCTTCTGAGCTTGGCCTCAGTTTTAAATCAGTGTTTCAATGTGAGGAATTCATTTGCAAGAAGAGTGACAAACCTCGAAAGTGACTGGATTTACAGTACTCGGATACCATATGGGTCAACGCTTTGTACACAGTGCAGAAGCCTTCCTATTTAATAAGGACAGAAACAGAACCACCCATTTCTAAACTCTGCTTCAAACATCAAGAAAGGATACCCTTTAAAGTCATAAAGTTTACAATGAAGATTTTAAAAAACAAACAAACAAACAAAAAAACCCTGTATAGTTCAGCTCCTTTTCAGTACTTCATAGTAACCAGGGCTCTTTCTAATCTTGCTTTGGACCAGTGGGTCACAAGCCCTCTGGGAATCAAAAAGTTCTTTTACAGGGGTCATCTAAGACCATCTGCATATCAGGCACTTACATTACAATTCATAACAGCAGCAAAATTACAGTTATGGAGTAGCAATGAAAATAATTTTATGGTTGGGGGTCACCACAGCATGAAGAACTTTATTAAAGGGTCACAACATTAAGAAGGTTGAAAACCACTGTTTTAGACCCACACTTAATTAGACGATTTTCTACAAACTCCTTAGAACTTGTCTTAAACTTTGTTTCCATTTTCTTTCCCTCACACTTTTTTGTCACTTGCATGAACATGAGTTATAGGCATAAAGTTATTATGCAATTCAAATGGCGATTTCTGTACCCCCATATCTGGTTGCCATCCTTGTTCTGAGACCCTTCTGTCTCAATGTTGTATAAAACCCTGCTCTCCAATTGTCCCCTGATATGTCAATAAACCAACTTACAGCCAATCGCTGAGCACGGGAGAGAATAGGATTAGACTCCCTGCCAGCCAGGGGAGGAGGGGACAGAGGAGGAAGTAGGGGATTGAGCCACTGGCACATGTCCAGAGGAACCAGGAGAGAGAGCTCAGCAAGAAGCTACCAAGTGCATGTATCTCTGGGATATACACTGGGAGGAAACCAGAATAGCTTAGAGGGTTCAGAATAGAGTCATAACTGCTCAGTTCTTGTGCTGTGAAGGTTATTACTAAACAAATATAATAGAGTCTCAATTATTTGTATGATAGCCAGGTTAGAACGAAACTGAGAAACAAACACAGTTTTATAAAAATAACCTTGACAGTGAGCGGCAGTCATCATCGGGACCTGAGTCTGTAGTGAGACTTTCGGTTTCTTTAAAATCCCAGTTAAGTTATATGAATATGTTTTTGTTTTAATCCCAGGAATGGGATATGAGGCTGCTTCAGTCTGTCCACAGCAGTTAACGATGATTGTCTTATGCATTATCAGGGGTGTGATCTTTGCTGCAGATAGCTTAATTCTGGAAAACTCTTGAGAGGGAATAAATGACTGAGTCCTGAGCAGGATGGGAGAGAGGGCATTCTGAAGAAGAAGAAGGAGGAGGAGGAGGAGGAGGAGGAGGAGGAGGAGGAGGAGGAGGAGGAGGAGGAGAAGTAGAAGAAACTAGAAGAAGAACAATAAGAACAGCAACAAGAAGGAAGAAGGAAGAGGAGGAAAGGGAGAGAGGGAAGGAGGGAAGGAGGAGGGGCCTGATCCCCCTGCTGCTCCTGGTTGCTGCTGTTGCAGTTTGAAGAAAAGTTGGAGATATCTTGACTCTGAAGATTGAGGCCACTCTAATGTACCAGTGAGCTGCAGCTCCGCTGGCCATGCAGGTGTGAACACATTAGTCTCAGCTTCTGCTTTTGCAGAAATAGAAGGGATCCAGCTTGGCCTCCTGCGAGTTAGTGAGAAACAGAGCGGGGCATGTCTGACCCCTGGGCTTCTTCTCAGAGTCAATTAATGCCCTCACTGAAGGTGGACTATGTGTTTTTGCAAGATTTATAAAGGTGTGGGAGGGAGTAAGAGACTTAAGAGCTAAGAGTTCAATTCTCCTTTGACTCTATTGACTTTCCAAAGTAAAATCTAAGCTGGGTGCGGTGGCACACATCTGTGATCCTAGCACTTGGGGAAGAAGAGGCAGGCAGATCTCTGTGAATTCAAGGCCAGCTTGGTCTACAAAGTGAGTTGGACAACCAAGGCTGTATAGAGAAACCCTGTCTCAAAAACAAACAAACAAACAAACAAACACCCAAAAAATAAAATCTACTCATGTAAAACTTATTTTGAACATAGTGCCTTAGGAAAACTTAACCACTGAGTTAGGCAACCCCAACCCCATGTAAATTATTTAGAAGTATTTGAATTTACTTTTTCTCCTGCAGTGGTTTGAAATATTTTAAGGGCCAGTGACCTGGGTTAGTTTTTAGGCAGGTCAGACTGGAATTTCATGAATGCTCACTTAGTGGACATTACTGACAAGATTATTGACTTGAGTGAAAAAAAGTACTGACTGAGTACTATTAAGATAAAAAAAAATACTTGATGGTAAGATCCTCAAGCCATATCTTGGCCCTTATACCTCCAGAATCTATGTTCTCATGGTCAACTTAAGAATATTTGTAGAATGAGTAAAATAATGTTACAAAGAATCACCAAGTGGATAAAGGTAACAGGAAGAAAAGGTGTGTTGAGAAGGAAAGGTTTTCGGGAAAACTTTGCTAAAATGAGTCATTGCCAGTATGAACTTGACTTTCATTCTGGCTATTTTAGCCTTCAGAGGTAGGTGGAAAAGAAATGTTCTGACTTTCTTGCAAGTATCTTCTTTGTCAACTAGCTGACGGTCCCTTTATCAAATCTATCAAGGCAGCCAAATGACTGGGTTGATGAGGGTCTGATTAGTTGGAACCAATCTCATTTGGTCCACATAGTTCCAGTGGTGGGTGGAAACAGTTCAATGGGTTTAGGGATGCTACACTATTGCTGGGTAACAATTTCCTTAGAAGCTCTTTGAAACATAGGAAGTTCTAAAAAGAGGTTTATTAAGAAGAATCGGGAAGTATACAACTCAGAAGTTTCAGGAAAACCCTGAATCTGATCAGATGTACAAGGTACCTTCCGTGCCATGTAAGGGGTAAAAATTTCTGGGGAGACAGAAACGAGATGAACTATGTGGATGAGGATCAGGCTAGCCAAATTGCCTGAAAGAGACACTCTTCAACCTGTAGAGCTGCCTGCAAGTTGTGCAGTGAGAGCTCAAGGGCTCCAGCTTTCATGAATTGTCAGGTTTGCTGGGGTGGGCTTTCAATGAGAACAGTTGCCTGGAGGACATCCCTGCTCTTGGATCTAACCCTTCACCCACAGATCAGTGAGTAACCCCACTAAACCCACTGGTTTTGGGGGGTATCCTTACTTTGGTCTGTGGCTGTTTCCCTTTCTGGGTTAAGTAGACATTTATTTATTCACATTTCTCGAGGAGTGGTGTCATATAATAAACTCAAATTATTGGGGGAGAGAAGGTAGTTAGGCAGGTGATGGTGGTTAGGATCTAGTGCAGGCCGAAACGGCTTTGTGTTTGGTGTGATCCATTTGTTAAGAGAACTCTCATCAGTGATGTCTTAATTTCCTGAGTGATCTATTTTGTATTATAGTATTCGTGAATATCATTATCAAAAAGGTATGCATTTTGAATTTTCCAGTACATGTCTCTTTGTATTAAGCAAAATGGATGGGACATTTGCTCATTTGTAGGATTTGGAGCACAGTCTTATTGTTTTTATTCTTTATGGAGGCTTACAGCCTTCCTATGTGCCAATTTCACAGCATACTCTTTGTTTTATACATGGCCTTTTCTTAATACCAATCTCTTCTTCAGGGACAGATTTTTTTTTTTATTCTGACACATGGAAAAGCATTATCTGCTCTGTAAGTGTTTGCTTCATGTTCAGTTTTCAAGGATGGGATATGGCAAAAGATGTCCAGACAGTTCAAACCAAAGTGATGTGTTGATGATGATGACGATTACGACCAAACAGATAATTGCTTCAGGTATTTTTCTACTTAGGAAGCTTATCACTTAATAGTATGTTGTTTCTTAACTATCATTCGGTGTGGATGCTACAGTTTCCCAAGCTTCACTTGTAAAGCGTGAACCAAGAATTCCAGGATGTGATGTGGGGAAATTGTAACACAGCTGATTCTGGCTCCAGTGATCCCGGAGAAACGCTGGCCTATGGAGAGTACTTACGTAGCCAACGAACCACAAGCAGAAAGCAGGAGAGATCCACTCTCTGGCATGGATTCCACAGTCGATCCATATGGCATTTTTGGCTGTTTTTTCCTTTCCTGAAACCTGCACACACACACAAAATAAAATAAAATAAAACGAAAATACAACACAAACAACGCTTCCCCATCTTTTCTTTAACTCCACCCTTTCAATGGACTTACTGCAAATCCATTGTTCTCTTGAAAATTTGCAAAGCAAATTTGAAAGCTGGTGAGATGGAAGGGGCAGTTGCATGGGTGAGTTGGGAATGACGTTGAAGACAGGACTGTTAAAGTCCTCCCGGCCCTGCGTTATATAGACATGCAGAAAGAGAAGCAGAGACCTTTCGCTCTAAGTGTGTCTTTACTCCTCAGAGGTAAATGGTGTTTGCTGGTGGGCAGTTGTCTGCAAGAAGGATAGAGACTTCAGAAATACAGACTCCCTCAAATTTCCCCCCACAGAGTACATACTATTTCTCCACTTCATCCCCAAAGGATGAACGCATCGTCAGTTGACTCATACAACTGGTACCATTAGATTAGGGACAGAGGCTTTGACCTGATGCACAGAACGGAGGGCTAGTGCAGGGGGTCAGCTCTGTGGAGCAAGAGGAATCAGGTTGTACACAGTGACCTTTGATGTCTCTAGACGGATCCTCGAGGCCAAGCCAGCTAAAATCCCAGTGTGAATGGAGGAGAGGCTCATGAAGCCCCACCTCTAGCTGGGGAGGAAGCTGGCAACTGATGGCTGGTGAGGAAGGGAGAGTAAGTTTTCTCAGGAATGAGGCCCCTGAAAGCCTACTATGCTCCCGTAGTGCACATATGGACAGCACTGAGAGAGAGAGAGCAAGCGTGCGAGCGAGCACATCAAGCTGGGGGGAGGAAGGAGAGAGATAGGGGAGGAATTGAAGGAGAGGAAATGAGGAGGTAGATTTGATATATACATACACGAAATTACTAAGAAAATAGAATTCTCAAGAGTGTTTCCAAATCAGTCAAAATTTGTTTGACCTAAAACTTTTTAAAAATTTTTTAAATTTTATTTGTAGGAGTGTTTTCCTGCATGTGTGTCTGCACCACGCGTGTGCCTAGTACTCTCAGAGGACAAACGAGGATGTTGAATCCCCTGGGCTGCAATCACAGATGGTTGTGAGCCACCGTGTGGGTGCTGGGAATCGAATCTGGGTCCTCTGAGAGGGCAGCCAGCACTCTTCACCACTGAGCCAACTCTATAGGCCCCATAATTTATTTGTTTCTTTAAAGTTAGTTACAAAAATAAATTCAGGATATGGAGGAAAAAGAAGAACTATAAATTCAAACAAATGTGGAGAGCAACCAAAACAAGCAACAAAGAAAGTGAATATTGTCATTTACATCATCCTGGGAAGGTTTCCTTCCCTGACCTGCAGTTAGCAATATCTAAATAAGAGGGAAAGAAAAATGGCTGCTAATGGTCAAATTACCTAATCAAATAAATGTGGATGATGCCATCAAATCAGTGTCAAGAACATCCTTACTTGTCCAGGTTAGTTGCCTTATTGATCATTCATTCATTCATTTATATTTATATACTTTAGCTTTAGGGATACATTTCCTGCTGGCTCTGACACTGGCAAGACGTGGGTCTTCAGAGACTCACACTCCTCAGTTAAATAAATGTAAATCTTGATGGAACCAACCAGGATGTGTGATTTTTCTCATATGTTCATTCAGCTTCCAGACACCCCAGTAGCAAGATGCACACAAAACGAGAAAGCACTGTGGGTGAGCATGCCAAGACTGTGCCCATGGAACTGATCCGGTAGGCTAACTCAAATGGTAGAGGAATCCAGCATGCCTCATTTCTGCCTTGAGTCTGCACTGAAAGTTCTCGTTCAGGGCAGATTGAACCTAAGATCCAGAGTCAAAGTCTTATCTTCAAGTGACTGCAAAGGTTTACAAGTGACTATGTACCAACTCTATGCCACTAAAGCAAATGTATGTTTCTATTAAGTACATTTATGCAGAGCTTTTCTTTAATTTTTTTCTTTAAGAGAGAGTAATGTCGTCATAGACATGATGGCTACAGCTTTTCCAGTGTTCACCTTCACTGACCTTCCCTAAGCACAATTTATTCAAAGAAAACACCCCATACAAGGCAATATTACTCTCTCCTTTGTTTGGATATTATCAGCTACAGGGTTGGAAAAGAAACCCTCCTAAAACGATATAGATGGCAATATTTAACTCTCTTTTCTTCTTGTTTTTGTTACTCTACGTATTTCTTAAGCTCTTCTCCCTTACCCGAAATTATTTTTGTAACTGGCTTTTAAAGATCAAATTCTCTCTCATAAGTTTCTGCAACTGAAAGTAAATAACCACACAGACGGTGACTAAGGCAGTAGCTATAGCATTGCCTCCCTCTCTGTCCTTCCCTGGTTTGGTGACTCTGCTCCTACTTTGACTAGGCTATTGTTTGTCCAAGAGCAACTCAAGATACACAGTATCTCCCAGCCAATCTAAGGGAGGTAGTGATATAAATAAAAAAAAAAGGAGGGGGAGCAGCCCAGGCTACGCCCTTTGTTTTATGAGTGTGCTGGCTGAAGCCCACACAAAGTGGCTTATCTAGTTGGCTAATGCGATATGAACACAGGTGGGGCAGATTCTAGAGCTGGCTTTCAGTCTTATAAACTCATTACCCAAGGGGAAAATGTTAAAGTTAATATAAGGAGCTAGGTATTAAAGTTAAGATACACTTGAAATAAAAATACTTTCTGAACTCAAGGAAAACACATAACAAACACCATTGGGGAGTTAATCTCTTCCCGAAGTGACTCTCCTCATACCTTTAAAACGTAAAGTGGGCGCTTCTCATATGACGACCCGATGTAGAATTTCTGGAGCATGTTGGGATGGCGTTCAGTTATAACCTCTATCCAGGAATAAATCTATGTGAACAAAAGTATCAAGTTAGTCATAGGGCATGTTCAAAGGAGGTCCTTGACAACAGGTTTCTCATAGGGCATGTTCAAAGGAGGTCCCTGACCACAGGGCGCAGTCAACTTCCTCAAATACAGGAGGTTCATCTCCATTCTCTGCAATAAAGGAACTGAAGAACTGAAAACACTCAGGAGGAGGGGTTTCCTCTGCTGAAAAGGAATAAAAGGAGAGTTTTGCGTTCCAAGGATTAGGAGAAAAGTGAAGCAGCTCTAAGAAGCAGTGAACAAAGTTAATCTTTCAAATGTGGCCTTGGAAACCATTGGCTTCAATTTGATTTGATCTGATGTCTATGGGTATATGTCTGTGCACCACTTGGATGCCTGTGGAGGCCAGAAGAGGGCATTGGATGCTGTGAAACTGGAGTTACAGAGAGCTGTGAGCCACCATTTGGGTGCTGGGTATTGAAGCCAGGTTCCATGGAGGAGCAGCCAGTCCTCTTAACTGCTGAGCAATCTCTCCAGCCCAGACATTTTTTATTCATTTTCTGGTTCTGAGGATGGCATGCAGGGCCTTGTGTGTGACAGACAGGCGCTCTACTACTAAGCTATGCCTTGCACTTTTTTGTTGTTTTGTCTTTTGAGACAGGATCTCATTATGTTACCCAAGCTGGTCTTGTTCTTCCTGCCTCAGCCTTCTGAGTGCTGAGGGTATGATCTCGAGCCACTTTGCCAAATTCCAGAGTTCTTTTTAGAGCAGTGGTTCTCAACCTCTTTGGCAATCCTCTATCTACAAAATGACTTACATTACAACAATTAGTTACAGTTACAGTTATGGAAGAGCAGCAAAACAATTTTATGGCTGGGGGTCACCACAGCATGAGGAACTGTATTAAAGGGTTGCAGCATTAGGAAGGTTGAGGAACACTGTTTTAGAGGTTTATCACATTGAAACTGCCTCTCTACATGTGGTCCTTCTACTAAGCATCCTGTAGCTAACATTATGGAGCTTAAAAAAAAAAAAAAAAGAAACTCTGAGGAAGGGGAAGGGAGGTTACTGCTGCAATAGTGTCTGTGGAGCAAGCATGAGGACCTGGGTTCAGATCACCAGCACCTGTGTAAGATTTGGGCACTTCGTGATGCGTGTGTAATCCTAACACCGGGGAAGGGAGCATATGTTGGGGCGGGATGGAGGCAGGCAGACCCTTGGAGTTCACTGGCTGGCCAGTCTAGCTGAATCAGTCACATACACACATGCTCACATTCCCTTTTTAGGACGAAGAAGTGTGGGCACCGTTTTTTTCACAGGAAAGGTGTCAGCATTATTGTTTACACCAGAAACCCAATGAGATTGTTGTGACAACAAAGGGGAAATATGAAGGGAAGCTGAAGAAAGCAACTGCACATGAGCAGTAGCTTCATTCTGGACTCTGTCCAGCACAGAAGTCCAGTAGAATCTGAGGCCCCATCCAAACTACAACAGGAGGGGAAATTATTTCTCTGGGGCTGACTTTAGCAACCCCTTTAAAGCAGGCATTGAATTATCATGTGATTTGAGATATCTGAGACCAAACTTGGTCATTAATACAGACCAAGTTCCCAGGTACACTTGGACCTTCTGAACTCACGATGACCAACTCTTTGGTATTTTTTCCTCTGGGAACTCTCCTAGTGTTGATTTCACACAACCATCCTGGCTGATGGTAACTGGAGCATCATTTACCCATTCTTGTGGTGGCATAATTAGCAAGAGCATGTGTGAGTTTTTCCACCAGTGCTGAGGACAAAGATGCTCCTGAAAGGTCTGTCACCAAGTTCTGATACCATTGGTTTCTATGGTGTCAGAGACTTAGGCACTAAAGGGTTATTCACTAGAATTCTATTTCCTACATTCCTTATCCAGGGACGATTATGTCTAAGGATTAATTAGTGTTGTAGCAATGGTGACTCAGCAGATTTCCTCCAATAGATTTGTATAGATTCAGCTTCATTGATGAACTTACTAGACTGTCTTGGGTGGAGGACAGGAGGAGCTGACGATAAGTACAAGGAGAAGGGAAGAGATAGAAGAATTTCCCGAGATTAAAAGCACCACATTTCTCACGAGTCTCTTGGAAGGATTTGGAGTAGGGAAAGGAGACGATTAAAATACTTTCTGAAATATCTTGGTGATGCTTTCTTGTATTTCCCCAACTGGAACCATAGAATGTAACCGTGGTGAATTGAAGTTCAAGAGAGGCACTGATCTGGTCTGACTACTGTCCTTAAAAGAAGAAGAGAATAAGACAGGAGACAGAAGCGAAGGTACAGAGAAAAGCCACATATCCTGGTTGGTTTTATGTCAACTTGACACAATCTAGAGTTATCTGGGAAGAGGAACCTCAGCTGAGAAAATGCCTCCATCAATTAGCTGTAGACAAGTATGTGGAGCATTTTCTTCATTGTGAACTGTTAGAGAAGGCCCCAGTCCACTGTGGGTGGAGCCATCACTGGGCAGGCGGTTTTGGGTGGCATAAAAGATAACCCTTTCCTCCCCAAGTGGCTTTTGGTCATGATGTTTATAACTGCAGTGGAATGCAAACTAGGACAGCATTTGAGAACAAGGAGACAACTCTCTACAAGTTGAGGAAAGAGGCCTCAGAAGAAAACAAAAACCTGCCAACACTTTGACCTTGGACTTTTTGCCTCCGGAAATATGAGCAAATAAATTTCTATACAGTCTGTGTCATTTTGCTATGGAATCCCTAGCAAATGAATGCAGTCATGCTGTTTGTTTGTTTGCCATTCTAAGTCTTTCATGGGGATATGGTAAGACAACATAACTTTCTGGAAAAAATAATTTTTAAAAATGTATTTTGAAATCCTCCTGTTTAAGGCCCTTCCCTCTGCCCATCAAACTCAACACAGTGGGATAGTATTCATCTTCTGTTTTTCAAGCCTCTCCTATCGAGCCTCCCTGTATCAAGTTTGTCACACATTGCTGGTGATAAACTAGAGGGAAGTAGCCTGTGTAGAATAGAAGGATATAAGATGCTAAAGAGAAATAATACGGGGGAGGGTGTGTCTGAAAATGTAACACCCCCATCAACCGGCCAGGCACATAGGTTCCAGGAGCAGACTGAGTTCTAGATTAACCAACTGGAAAGAAACAGATGATTTAAAAAATGAAATATAAAATTGATTCTCATTACCCAAGTCTTAGGTGTGGTTTTGGCCAATTTTTTTAGGTACCCTATCAAAGACATCCTGGTTTAAAAGTTCCTACCCAGAAGGACAAAATGCATTCATTATTCATTTATGGCATTCAAATATAAGTGGATACAACCCTTTAACTCTGTGAGGTAATCTGGCCATTATTCATTAAGAATAAAATTCAGGTACTGGTCAAAAGAGACATGAACGATTTCAGTGTGGCAGTCCTATTCTTTATTTTCTGTTGTTATTAGCATTCACTATTTCCATTAGTATTATCCCCAGAAATTCCAGATACTGTTAGCCTTAGATACACATGCCATTGTACAGCCAGTTTATCAAATATGGGGGCAAACCTTCCCAAAGGAGAAATCAGCAAAAGCATGAATTACTGCCCTTTAATCAACCTAAATATGATTCAAAATAAACCCTTAGCTGGTTATTATTCTTTGAAATGGCAATGCTGGTTAAGTGAAAACAGTACCTTTGAGGAATGGCATGGTAACTTACTTCATTTAGTGAGTGATACTGTTCATAGTAGGATGAGGAGGCCCGGGGGCTGAACGTGTCATTGGAAGTCTGCTGTCGAATTAGATCCTCCACATCGTTCACCAGGACACTGATGACGAAACAGAAGGTGAGCGGCTTCCAAGCCCAATGCCGGCTTCCCCACATGGCCCCTTGCAGGCCACATATGTGAGCTTGTGGGAGAGTTGCCAGCAGGTCCAATGAGCAGTTCAGCAACTAAAACAACACAGCTGTCTATGGAGACAAGATGAATCCACAAGCCCCTTTAGCAGAGCCTTGTGGACCCTGGGGAGAGGATATGAGGTTTAACTTCAGGACTGCCTAGATTTCATACTCCTCTACCAGTATCCGTGTTTCTGGACTGTGGTCCTTCAGTGTGTCTTCTATGAGAATAGTGATGGCTGATTTTGGTTATCAACTCGACACCCCTGGAAAGAGGGATGTCTGTGGTGCTGGGAAGAGGAATGTGGGAGGAGAGATTGCTAGTTGATGTAAGAAGGCCCAGCCCACTGCGGATGGTACCAACCCTAGCAGATGGGCCAGAGCTGTTTAGCCGAAGTTGCTGGATGTGAGATCAAACCAGTAAGGAGTAATCGTCTGTGGTTTCTGCTTCAAGTTCCTGCCTTGACATCCCTCAATGATGTACTATAATATGTAAGATTAAATAAACCATTTACTGCCCAAGTTGCTTTTGATCTTGTTGTTTATCACAACAAGAGAAATCTGGCTAGAACATGAAACATCAATTCAGAACAATATCTGTTTTCTCTGAAGGACGCAGGAGAAGCAGACCACCTTTCATTCTTATTTTTCATAGATGTAGTACAGATGTTCTGCAGGATGATACACAAGCAGGCCCTTGCAAGTCAAAATGCAGGACAAGGTAAGATTCAGACTGTTAGCCTGCTTACCCTACTGACTAGGCAAGTACTTTATCAGAATTGTCAGCTGGGATGAACAGTTTGGAATCAGCTCTCATACTGATCATTTAGGCCAATGGCCAAAAGCCAAGACTTAGATATCTGAATGTTATGAATTTGACTTCTGCCTCCACCACATTTCAACTGTTGACTTGTAAGACAAAAGAAGGAGGAGGAGGAGGAGGAGGAGGAGGAGGAGGAGGAGGAGGAGGAGGAAAACTTTTCAGGGCTGGAGAGATGGTGCAAAGCGCACAGGCTGCTCCAGCAGAGGACAGAGTTTCAGTTCCCAGCATCCACACGGAATCCCACAACCATCTCTAGCTCCAGTTCACGGGATTCGATGCCCTCTTCTGGCCTCTGTGGGAACTTCACAAAAGTGATACCCAGACATACATGCAGGCAAAATACCTGTACACATAAGATAAAAATAAACGAATCTTTAAACGGTTTTTCCCTCTGTCTCTGGGAACAGCATCTACCTTGCACAGTTCTATAATGACAAGTTAAACAGTGTGTGGGTTGGCTCAGTACAGTTCCTGGAAGGAACAGTAAATACCTCTAATACATCATCAACAATTCTCCAAACATATTACACAGAGGGTGTCCATTGGCACACATAAAAGGCCATGGTCGCAAGAAGTACAAAAGGACAGCAGAGGGGGGACCCTGGCTCAGGAGAAGAAAAAAAAATCCAGAGAAACTAAAAGAGAGAGTGGACTCTGAGCAGAAACAATACCCAATACGTTGTTTTGTTTTCTTTTGATGCTTTAAAATCACTTAAACTGCACAGTCAATGTTATTTTTTTTTAGTCAATGTTATTTTATCTCCAGTGCACATTTATAATTTCTACAAGATCATATAGGTGACTAAGTGTCAGTGCCAAACTGCAATGTCATCTGTCTAGCTGAGGGCTGGGTCGTCAGAAACATCCATTAACTTTGAGAAGAAAGAATTCATGACAGATTCGTCTCTTTTTCCAAGAGCTGTCCCAAATCTTACCAAGGTGTGATAGTTCCTGTAAACCCAAGAGCCTCCAGAATCACTGAACAGACAGGTTTCTGAGCATGTGAGGGATTTTCTAGATTTAGGTTAAGTGATACTGGAAGAGCCATCTTAAATATAGGTGGTAGATTCCATGGGCTGAAGGGGGATCCAAGGCTGAATAAAAGGGGAAGAGGGAGCCAGCAGCAGCATTCATTGGTCTGTGCTTCCTGACTGTGCATGCCATCACTCTTCGTCTGCCTTGATGAACTGTGTGCAAATTCTTCTGCAATGGCGTTTTTTGCTGGTCAACTTGACTACGTCTGGAATTAACTAAGAACCTAAGCACTGGGCATGTTTGTGAGGAATATTTAGTTAATTAGATCATTTGAGGTATGAAGACATCTTAAACCTGGATCATTTTAGGTCAGAAGACCCATCCTAAGTCTATATAAAGGACATGGAAGAAAGCAGCTTTTGCCTTTTGCCTGCCTGTCCTCTCTTTCACTGACAAGCTCCTCTGCCCTGCTGCTGAGGTGTTTCTTCACTGGTATTGAGAGCCTGCTTCTTGAGGATTCCAAAGTACACTGAAGATCAGCTGAGATATATTAGTTCTAGAGGCTCTGATATCCTCTTCTAGCTCTGTGGGCACCACACATGGTATGTGCAGGCAAAACACCCACGCGTATAAAAGCAAATAAAATTCTTTGCAAGTATTCCCACTATTAAGTGTATATGTTTTATATGCATATGTAATCATATATATTACATATGACTACATATGCATAGTATAGGCCTAGGAAAAGAGTAGTAACAGAAAGAAGATGAACGAGAGGTTCTGAGAACCGCTGAGTCTTAATTCTGATCAAGGACTGAGTTTGGTCTTGGGTCTCATCACCCGAGTCTGTCTCTGAGACTGCCAAGTCACAATTTTTAACGCACTCGATTTTTTTCATAACGCTATCACATCGTCTTGGTCAAAGACACAGTAGGTGTCCATCGTCGCTGAAAGCACGCAGTAAAGGAGACCTACCTAAATGGAATCCTGCTCACATTTAAGTGGGCTTTCACGCTGTCGACATCAGTCACATTGACAAAAAAGTGCACTTCCTTTTTCTTCGTAATGAGTTCAGCCGTCACTGGCTGCCAGAGAGCGACCTGCAGTTTCCAGGAGGAAATCGGTAAACTGAAAGCAGAGTTGTTGACATCATTTGAATCCGTAGCTAGGCCCTTAAAAGCCCTGTGTGTAGAAGGGCGTGGCAAGGGCGCCCTCTCAGCCGTCTCCACCCCGGACCCAGTGATATAAACACTCATTTTGCAGGGAGCTCTTTATATCCACTATCATTCACACTCCAGATTCTTAATATTTGATGGGAAGATGAATACATTAAGACTCTACTGTGGAGCTGGATTTCTACTTTCCTCCAAAGTGCATTCACACTCATTGCTCACTAGAATATCCACTTTGCTCCTTAGAATGTCAACCGGATAGACGTTATCCTTTCTTGGTAAAGATTAGCCAATAAAGGATCATAGCTGATTTGTCTGAAAATCATATGCCCGGTATCAGAATAAGCAGTGAGATTCTGAGGTAATTGAGAACACAGTGCCGTTGATGTATGTATGAAAATGTCAAAACAAAACTCAGGATTGTTTGTTTGGTTTTCGAAAGCTAACTAAACAGTAAAAGTAGAAAGTAAACAAGGAACAGAACGAAGTGATTAAATTTGAGAGCTTTGAATCTTTCTCTAGAGAGATTTCATTTTCATCTTGTGAGAGGGCCACTTACATGCTCCACTCAGCTCTGAGCCTGCCAGAGGTCAGGTGACCCCTAGGGGCCGCCCATCAGGACGTGGACCTGCTGTCCAGGGCCGCTGCTTATGCTACCTGCACATCGGGTGTTCACGCAGAGGAGGGATTCTTGTAACAAGGCTTTTTGCTGCAGCAAATCTATGTCTGCCTGACCTGGGAATTGCTCTGCAGACTGAGAACTATCACCACCGTGACCCCACCCCCTGCTGGTCGTCCCTCCTCTCCCCCTCCACCTCTCCAGCTCCCCCCTCCCTCACCACTGCCACCTCCAAACTGATCCGATCTCTATCTCCCAGCGCACACTTAATGAACACAGGCTCATTCATTCTCTGCTGCCTGCCAATCTTCCATATCTTGAGCTTGTGAGGGGGTGGGGAGATGGGACCTAGATACAGACATTTTAATAAGTGTTTCCTTATGGCTTATGTGCTGACTACTCCTTGGCTAAGAACCACTATTCTATAAGCAAAAAGCTGTTAAACTTCTGTTGGTGTGACAGCTTTGGGCTGGCGTGCTGACAGTTTGAGGTAATACTATGAAAGTGACTGGAAAGCTACTCACACAGATAAAGGATAGATCCTGGAACCCAAAGGCAGTGTGATTTTAGCCAGATACACATAGACAGACTGGTTGGGGTGCATAGTTCACAGTGCTCACGGGGGAAAACTAACGTAGATGTAAGCTAGGGGGTTACCTCATAGGATGTAGTCAGATTCTGAAGAACTTGAACTTGTCTCGAGGTTCTAGGAAGAGCAGACAGAACCTGGCCACTGGGAGGAAAACAGGGTTTTGGTTAAATAACAACGTGAAAACAGCATGCATTTTCCTGAAAGAGCTTCTAGGTCATTATAAGACAGAGACAAAGCTTAAAGAGTGTTAGGCCACAAGCAGACTCACTGTAAAGACGAGGCAGCCTCTTTCTCACACTCATACTCCTAAACAATCACAAAATCACAGGTCCGGGCTTGCAGAGCACCCATCTCTTTCCTCTCCATTCTGTGTGTGTGCACGGGTGCACAAGGACTTATGTGAGACAAAGAAGACGACGGATAATAAATTTGCTTTTATTTTTTTTTTCACATGGAGAGAGCAGAACTCTAGTTCGCTGTCCCTGGGAATGTGAGTTAGCAGAGCCTTCATGAAAGCAGTGTAGTGTTTGCTTAAAAAATGAATATAGAGTAATAATATGATCTGACAATCCTGATGGGGATAAGGAAATGAAATTAGTTTGTCAGAGACATCTGCATTCTTGCTTTTGCTGCGATACTCCTCACTACCATAGAGTCAGTGTGAGTGTCCACTAATAGAGAAGCTGATAAAGAAAATGTGATAAACACACATACACACACACACACACACACACACACACACACACACACACACACTAACATCCAGTCATTAAAAAGAATGAGATTCTTGGAGAGGAGCTCCAGCTGGAGAGATGGCTCAGTGATTAAGAGCATTTGTTGCACTCGCTGAGGACCCAGGTTCAATTCCCAGCACTGACATGGCAGCTTGCAACCATCTGCAGCCCTAGTTCCGGGGGATCTGAAGCCTTCTTCTGACCTCTGCAGGCATCAGGCACTTACACAGTGCACATACGTAAGGGGCAGGAGAAACACTCATATGCATAAAATCAATGAGGCAATGTAAAAGAAAATAAAGAAAGAAAGAATGAGATCCTGTCATGTACGTTAGCAGAGATTGTGTTAAGTGAAACAAGTCAGGCACCGAGAAGCAAGCGCTATGCTCCTGAACGACACCCCTGGCTCCTTTATAAGATATATTTTTATCCATCATTTTCTTACAAGCTTGCATGTATAAGAGTTCTTTCTAAACCTTGGGACACAATAGCAGTCACACCCATTTCTTTTGTCTTTCTTTTTAAAACTTTTATTTTATCTGTGTGGGTGTTTTGCTATGTGTGTGCAGTGAGCATGAAGGCCAGAAGAGAGTGTCAGAACCCAAGAACTAGAGTTACAGACAGTTTTGAGCTGTCACATGAGTGCTGGGAGTCAAATCCAGGTTCTCTGGGAAAGGAGCCCAGTGCCCTTAAACCACCTCTCCAGCTCCCCAAACCCTTTGCTTTCCCTATTTCTTCTTTTAAGCCTTTGGAAATTATTGGTAGGAAGTGTAGGAATCTCTCTCTTTCTCATGATCTTTCTCTATCTCCCATCCTTTCCCTCTTAGAATCATTTAATCATTTAAGAATGTCCACTACCTTCCATGGGTGTCTAGGTTAGTGTTGACCTGGGTTAAGTTTTCATACTAGCGGACAGGTGAAAATGTGCATCAAACTATGTCTTCTTCCAGGCTGCAGAAAAGCTGCACTCCTGAGCCTTGGGCATAGCTACGCTGAGGCCCAAGTTTCAGACAATGGGGATGTGCATGGCCTTTCCTCCTGAGGCTAGAGCAAAGAACCTTAAGACATTGATTTAGGCTCCTAGGGTGGAGAGTACCAGGGAGAGACTGTTTTCTATTGATAGGTGACAGGGACCTATTGATAGGTCCCTCTTAAATCCGTATGTTAGAATCCTAGTGCCCATGATGGCATTAAGATATGAGGGATTTGGAAAGTGAAGGGGTCACGAGGTAGAGCCCTGTTGAATATGATTAGTATTAGTGTCCCTATACAAGAAGCCCGAGAGTGACCTCACCTGTCCCTCCCACCGTTATGCAGGCAATGGAAAGACAGTTTTTCTGGGGCGGCGGGGGGTGGGGGGATCTGCTAGTTCTTGACCTTGGATTTCCAGCTTCTAGCACAGTGAGAAGTTTCTGTTGCTCATAGCCTGTAGTTGAAAGTATTTTGTTGTTGTTGTAACAGCACAAATGGACTACTAATTAAGGCTTTATTGCACTGGGCAAGGCTATTTCAGGATGTGCTAGCTGTTGCAGCATAGTCTAAAACGATCCTCACAAATACAGTACAGCTCTCTCTGGGCTGTTGTGTTTTAATGGGGGTTTTGTTCTTTGCCTGTGTCTGTCTCCCCAGTGGTGAGGTTAAAAGCACTCATCATAGCTGGCTTTTTTTTTTTTTTTTTACAGGGATATGGGGATCAAATTCAGGTCGCTGCCTGGACCATCTTCTCCGATCTTCAAATATTCTCAGTATCTTACAGAATGAGCTCATGCTTTTCCCACCTCCTTGACCCTCAAAAAGTCTCTGGAGAGATATGTTCTTCCACCTTAAATTAAAAAATCAACACTTGCCATGTTTCATAAGGACCCTAAGGTTTCCATGGTGAGTTTATTGAACTTGAGGTTCATAATTTGGGGAAGATGGACATTCTCATGGTGGATTGCCTTCTTGGCTTTCTCTAATACTGTTTTAAAGTTTTGTCTGTACATATATTGCTTAATTAAAAATTATGCTTGTTCTAACAATGTCACTTTTTTTTTTTTTGTAAATGGTGATTGAATATTCCAGATCCTAGTCTTTGTTGCCAAGATATTCAAATTAACTTGATTTGGGGATATGAAGGTTTTTTTTTGTTTTTTTGTTTTTTTTTTTTTTCTGTTCTCTTTGTGTGGTGTTTAAACTGTCAACGTAACACAATACGGAATCACCTAGGAAGAGTCTGGGTAGAATTGTGTGGAGGGATTGCTGTGATGAATTTAATTGATGTTGGAAGACCCAGTCCACTGTGGGAACCAACACTCCCTGGCTCGGGGCCCTGGACTGCCCAGAGAGAAGAGAGCAGCTGATACGCGTGCCTTCATTTTCTCTGCTCTTCGCCGTGGATGTGGTTGTGCCAAGTTCCTGCCACCTTGACTCCCCCACAGTGACGACTGTAATCTGGAACTGTGAACTAAAACAAACCCTTTCTCCCCTATCCTGTTTTGTCAGAGTGACTAGAAGGAGAACTAAGGTATCTTGGTGATTTGATCATTTTAATGTAGTCATTTGGAGATTTTTTTTCTCTTTGCAAACAGACATTACAAATGTATACATGTCTATGTTTCTTTCATTTGAATGCTCATGGAGCCTTTTTTGGGGAGTGGGTCTCTTATGTTATCCTGATGGCTAGCACTCCATAAAATACTGAGTAGAAGAGGAGGCGAATGATTTTTAAGGTTTCAACATTAGAGTCCTTCTTGTAGGTGCCTTTCCTCTTTGGCTTGTATTTTTATGGATTGAGCGTATGGGCTTCCTGTTTTACCTTTTTAATTTGGTGAAATCCCTTAGTGAAACTGGAATCTGTTTCCTCACGCTTGCTTTGTGTATTCCTTTCTGCTGTACAACATTTGCAAGAACTTACGAGTCCCTAGCGATGCTCGTACAATTACAGCAACACAGGAGTGTGAGTCAGTCTCAATTTACTCTATGTTTGCAAACCATTTACTCAGAGAGGGAGGATTCCTTAGCAGATTCATTTCTGCCGCTCACCACCCAATTTTGCTGCAGGAGATAATTATATAAAGAGAAAAAGAAAGCAGTGGTCGAGGGATTGTAGGTATGTATGGAATATGTGAACTACAGGAGGGTTATCAGGTTTGCGCTAATATTGCAAGTGGTATTTAAATTAAAATTACGTGTCCCGCAGTGGTGTTGCACACCTGTAATCCCAGCACTGGGGAGGCAGAGGCAGGCAGATCTCTCAGTTCTAAGGGGGCCTGGACTACAGAGTGAGTTCCAGGATAGCCAGGGCCACACAGAGAAAACCCTGTCTCACAAATTAACCTATGTCTGGGGCATTTTCTAGAGGATAGTTTTTTTTTTCTCTCTCTCTTTTATTTTTGGACAAATGCTGTCACTGAAATATAAAAATGCATACTTATATTTTTTTGTTCTGATATCAGTCCTTGCTTTATTTAAAACTAATCTTTAGAGCTGGCTATGGCAGTACATGCCACCTAACATCCAGAAGGTAGAGACAGTAGGATTGCAAATTCTCAGCAAACTTGGTCTACATGAATACAAGGTCAGTCTGGGTAACAGTAAAACACTACCTAAAAATAGCAATAACAATAATGAAACAAATCTGAAAAACAAACAAACAAACAAACAAACAAACTCAGACTTTGCTTCTGGTTGAGGTGGAGAAGTTGTAAAGGCAAACTAGCATTGAGACATGTCCAGACAGGTTTTAACCTTACTGCTTATCATAACCGTAGCCATCTTGTTTTTAAGTCTCCATTTTGATCACAAAGTGAAATTAAGTTCAGGTTCTCAGGCTCTGCCTGTCTGAGAACTTGAATAGCCTTTTACTTACAATTCAGCACTTACTGAATGTTCTGCTTGAGTTAATGATATATGTTCCACTTAGACAAAACCATAATACCCTGCTAGGTTCCTTTCTCCTGGACTGTGAGGAACTGGAAAGTCCCCTCGCCTATATCCTAGCCAATCAGCTTAAAATGCTTTGTCTAGCTACCTAGATACAATGTACTTGGAAATGCTTTGTTTAGCTGGTCAAAATAATGCAATGCTGCCCCCTCCCCCTCGGCTCCTACACCTGGTTACCTGATTAGTTTTTCTTATAAAAGCCTGCCTTAGCAGGGATAAAGATGAACAGAGATTGAGGGAATGCCTAACTGAAGACCCATCCTATCAGAGAGTACCAACCCCTGACACTATGAACCATGCTCTGCCAAACTTGCAGATGGGAGCCTGACAGAGTTGTCCTCTGAGAGATGCTACCCAGCAGCCCCTCAAAACAGATGGCAAGACTCACAGCCAAACACTAATATGATGCCTAGGGTGTTTTGTGGAAAAGTGGGAGGAAAGAGAAAAGGGCCTAGAGGCGACAGGAACTCCACAAGAAGACCA